TGAGAATAAGAATACTGGTACACCAACCAGCAAGGTAAAAGTGGGTGGGAAGATAGTGGCAGGTGGGGAAGTGTGGCCAGTCTTGTTCCTGGATCTTCTAGAACTATCCAGCACTCCAGATGGTGAAGCCGTGGGTGAAGAACAAGGGGGGGTGAACGATGAGTTGAGATCTTGTAATGTTAGAATTGCTGAGTTGGAGAGCCAAATACAGAGTAAAGACGCACGGGTGCGTGAACTAGAGCAGCGTGTCGAAATGATGGAGCAACTGCTAGGGATGCATGCTGGTAATTTGTTTGTAGACTTAAATAGTGTGATTGTGGAAAAGGATTCTGAAATTGATCGACTCAGTAAGGTGGTTGATCGATTGGAGTCAAAGATAAGCAATTTGCAGGATAGTCTTGATGATTTTGAGGTGCACGAGGTCACGCAATGTGTTGTCAATGATGGATCAAATCAGCGAACACCGAGCACTAGTCTTTCAGGTAAAGTAAGTGGTTCTGGCCACATCAAGAGTGTAGAAAGTGCACAACACTCTGCGTGTCCTGTAGGCCAACCCAAATACATTAACACCACCGAATTACAGATTGTTGAGAACGATGCTGGGATTGAAGATTTAACGGTTGACTTTGCCCATGGGAATGTACATCCGACAGTGGCGCGGGTGGAGGGTAGTTGCAGTCCCCGAAATGAGCAGCCAGCGTCAGAGGGCAATGTAAATGTTGGCGCAGCTGTCGGTGGCGTGGGTACTGGTTGTGAACACACAAATGCTGAAACAATTTCTGGGTCAAAAATGACGTCGCTGGTCAAACGGGTGAAGACCAAACCAAGATAGGAATTTAGGCTGTCTGACTACGAATATCCTGCCATATTTGGGCGACAACAAGTAAATACGAACGTGAGACTAGGTAAATCGTACGAGCCCGGGGTCATTTATAGTGTTGAGGACGTCGAAGTGGAGCGGAAAACCTGGCATGGTTTTGGTATGAACAGAAGGCACACTGTGTGGAACGTGTTGAAGGATGAAGATAGGCAACTACTGGAGAGAATGTACAGTTTAGAGGGGGACGGGTAGGTTGTTTGTATGGAATGTTGTACTTTTTGACATTTAGAAATTGTAAATGCTATTATATGGTTGTTCTTAATTTTGGTTTATGATGTGTAGGTTAATAGTGTGGGACGGTGGACACAATGGAATACAAGTGCATTTCACAGACATCAAAGATCTGGTGCAGCAGAACTCCATTCATGGGAATATAAGCTGGTGTCATATAATCTGCCGTTTATTTAAATATTTATTTCCACAGGGAAAAACCCCACATGGACATGTAAACATTGTGTCATTCATATCGTGGTTGATGTGCCTGTGACGAAATGACAGATGAATTTAATAACACACAATTACGTATATGTAAATACATGCACTCTCACCTGATGGTACAAAAATGGTAGTAGCACATACTGGACATTCATTTACAAAATGTTATTAATAGTGCACTGTGATTGTAATGGGTAACATATGGTGTAGGTAATTGATGCATACGCTGCTATGTTGACTGAAATGCGTAAGACGATGTCTGGAAGAGCAGAATTTGTGGGCACGACATACGTTTACACTAGTGTGTGTTCGGTATGTAGCACAACTAGCGTTCATTTGCACGAAATCTAAAAGTAATATTTTCTGTAATGAAATCTAACATGACTTTGGTGGCTTTGGAAAATTGTGCAGGATATGATGCGGAACAGCAGCGCAATGTCGCGAACGAGGTACTTGAACGTACACATGAAGGCTGAGCGAGGGTGCAGATACACACTATTCCCGATCTACAATGCCAATCATTGGACAGTCATGGCACACGATTCAGAAAGTGGGAATTGGAAACATTACAACTCCATGAGGCCAAGACGTGGAGTGCGTGATGAGCATTACAATGAGGCTCTAAAAGTTGTAAGTACATCAACACAGGCAGTAGTTCATATATGATTTTTTGTCGATTTGTAGTGGTGGTGCAATGGTAGATTAATAGATTGAGTTCTGAATGTGCATGGTTGATGAATTGTAATGTTTGTTGGTTTCAATGTCACACAGTACGTATCTAAACTAACATGTGAGAAATCAATAGAAACAATGGGTGGCCGACCACCACAACAAGTTTGTGAAACCAAGAGTTACAGCTGACGGCATTGGGGCAGACCTTTTTCCAAGACGGGAATTTAGGCTGTCTGACTACGAATATCCTGTCATATTTGGGCGACAACAAGTAAACGCGAATGTGAGACTAGGTAAATCGTTCGAGCCCGGGGTCATTTACAGTGCTGAGGACGTTGAAGTGAAGCGGAAAATCTGGCATGGTTTTGGTATGAACAGAAGGCACACTGTGTGGAACATGTTGAAGGATGAAGATAGGCAACTACTGGAGAGAATGTACAGTTTAGAGGGGGACGGGTAGGTTGTTTGTATGGAATGTTGTACTTTTTGACATTTAGAAGTTGTAAATGCTGTTATATGGTTGTTCTTAATTTTGGTTTATGATGTGTAGGTTAATAGTGTGGGACGGTGGACACAATGGAATACAAGTGCATTTCACAGACATCAAAGATCTGGTGTAGCAGAACTCCATTCATGGCAATGTAAGCTGGTGTCATATAATCTGCCCTTTATATAAATATTTATTCCCACAGGGAAAAACCCCACATAGACATGTAAACATTGTATCATGCATATCGTGGTTGATGTGCCTGTGACGAAATGACAAATGAATTTAATAACACACAATTACGTATATGTGAATACATGCACTCAAACCTGATGGTGCAAAAATGGTAGTAGTACATACTGGACATTCATTTACAAAATGTTATTAATAGTGCACTGTGATTGTAATGGGTAACATGTGGTGTAGGTAATTGATGCATACGCTACTATGTTGACTGAAATGCGTAAGACGATGTCTGGAAGAGCAGAATTTGTGGGCACGACATACGTTTACACTAGTGTGTGTTCGGTATGTAGCACAACTAGCGTTCATTTGCACGAAATCTAAAAGTAATATTTTCTGTAATGAAATCTAACACGACTTTGGTGGCTTTGGAAAATTGTGCAGGATATGATGCGGAACAGCAGCGCAATGTCGCGAACGAGGTACTTGAACGTACACATGAAGGCTGAGCGAGGGTGCAGATACACACTATTCCTGATCTACAATGCCAACCATTGGACAGTCATGGCACACAATTCAGAAAGTGGGAATTGGAAACATTACAACTCCATGAGGCCAAGACGTGGAGTGCGTGATGAGCATTGCAATGAGGCTCTAAAAGTTGTAAGTACATCAACACAGGCAGTAGTTCATATATGATTTTTTCTCGATTTGTAGTGGTGGTGCAATGGTAGATTAACAGATTGAGTTCTGAATGTGCATGGCTGATGAATTGTAATGTTTGTTGGTTTCAATGTCACACAGTACGTATCTAAACTAACATGTGAGAAATCAACAGAAACAATGGGTGGCCGACCACCACAACAAGTTTGTGAAACCAAGAGTTACAGCTGACGGCATTGGGGCAGACCTTTTTGATGGGAGTTTTGTGTCTGTTGTTGATTGTCCGCAACAAGTTCCAGAGTTGTAAGTAATTGTCATATTAGAATGAGTTCACAGTTTTGATGATGTGTTGTGTAAGTGACGCTGGTATCGGTTTTTGTGAGTGCAGGTCGGATTGCGGAATTTTCACATGCTTCATTATCAGGCAGTACATTCGTAGGGCAGAAGTCGATACTACGATGCACGGTCTCACACCAACTGGGCTACAAGCTGCGATGGTGGACATGTTCTTGAGTGACCCAGGCAGAGGACTCCATGGTAAGACATTGTAAGAGGTGTTCACGTTGCTCATTCCAGAAGGTGCAAGAACGTGGTTACGATGTTTTCTTCTTGGGTTTTATGGACGTACATATATGTTTTGTAATTCTGTAAGAACAAAACGTTAGCAAGGAAATTTTAAATTGGGTAGCTGTCCTATGTTGCTTTATTATCATGACAAATGGTGCACAAACGGTTTAAGCGTTGGTTAGAATTGGTTTTTTTGGGGGACGTAAATGTTGATATTATTTTTTAAGCAATTAAAATAGTTTCTTGGATTCCATATTAGCAGCTTTGAACCTTACGTGTGAAAAAATTATTTCTTACACGTCTACTAGTATGCCATTGTCCTTTTATTATCGTATGGTGGAGATGTGATGGTAATGTCCTTAACAATGTGAATTGTATGTTTACGTTTTCATGTGCATAGGCATGACATTGTCTCTTAATGCCAGATGGTCCTTGGTATATATATATGGTATGATCTACACAGGAGGTTACATTTTAATAGTGAGTTGGGGGGAACCTGTTTTGCCACTATGGGAGTAAACGTGGTTTGTTGGTAACCGAGTAAACGTGGTTTGATCTCTGCGTAAGTTGACATGCGTACATCAGCTACGTGGTTAATATGGCATGAGAGTAGAATAATTGGCCATTGCCATTTTAAGTATCATTGTAGGGACAACATTTCATTGTAAACGTAATATTACATTGCATTCAAATTTTTTTTAAACAGTGGGTTTGTGGTGCATATTGTGTATGGCGTACAGTGAATTGCAAACATACACCCAAACATTAAAAACCATTAGCCTTCCATTATTTGAAACAGTGGGTTGTGGGTGACTGACTGGTATGATGTGCATAGATATGAAAACAAACGACACACATTACTGTTACGGTATAGCAACATGAAAGTGATGTCATAATGTAATGTCCATGGTTGTTGGTTGTTAAGGGTGCATTATGTGATTGTTCAACAGTGGCCACCGAAATTAAACCCATAACAGAAAGAGAAGTGTATATTCTCCCAATTTGAATAAACCCATAACAAAAAGTAAATGAGTGATTATAAAACAATGTCAAAAACATTTTGGAAAACAGAATAAAAGTCCAACTGAACCCCAATTTGTGAGGGAAAGAAAATTAAACCACATGGCAGGTCGTCTGTAACGGCTCTTTGCATGTCTTTCTATTGTGATTGCCCAATTTTCCGCAACGCCCGCAACATATACGCTGCACTACCTCGCCTTTGGAGGGAATTCTCTTCCGTTTGGGCCTACCGGGAGGACGCTTGACTGTTGGCGGTGCTATCAAATATTCATTTGGGTTAAACGTCGGCCTCTCCACTGTTGGAATGGGGTATATAGTTCTGCTATAAGTAGCTCGAAATGTCTCGATGTAGAATCCAGAGTCTATTGAATCATAAATGTTTCTCCCATTATTACGGAATGCAACAACAGCATGGGAACACGGGAACCCATTAATCTGCCACTGAAAACAGGAACATGTCTGCTTGACGACGTCAACCAACACCGACGGGTAGGAATGAACCTCGTACACATCATCGTTAGCCTGGCTCACACACCATGCCCTGCTATCGTTATACGCTGACACCAATTTTTTCTCCATCTTCGGGCATATTACACTGGCCCATTTAGTGCATTTAACTCTGCGCTCCGACATCTGCTCCATGATTTGACCTCTTACCATATCAACCAATCTCGTAATAGGAAGATGACGGGCCTGGCCAACCCAGTTGTTGAAAGATTTGACGGCGCTTGAGCACATCTCCCCGTACCGTCGGGCACTAAAAAAATGACCAAAGTAAACGTTTACGGAGAGCATAAATTATAACAAAAACATATTATTAAAAATACATGCGGGGATTAACAATACGCCATAACCCATTAAGCGGATTGTGAAGTACCTGAAATACGCATTAGACCAATGTTTTGGGTGCAAGTCTTTAAGAAAATCTTCAATCACAGCTGGGTTGCACTTCTTCAATACCTCCAATTTCTCATTAAAGCAAGTAACAGTGGGCGCGTAGGCACATTCCCGCAACTTGCGCATCAACCCAATTTTATGCGATGCATTAACATATTTCATTCGATCCCGCAAGTTCATTTGGAGATGTAACAAACAAAATGCATGATGCGCCGAAGGGAAAATTATTGGTATGGAGTGTATTAATTCGACGTGACGGTCAGATACGAAAGTTAATGTCTGCCCGCCCCCAACAACTTCTTTCAAATTACGAAGAAACCATTCTCAATTAGATGAATTTTCTGAATCAACAATAGCAAAGGCTACCAGAAACAATCCTACACCCAAACATACAACATAAACAGTTTGCCATGAGCAAAATTGTACAACTTCCACACAAAATAAGTATGACACAATTTTTAAAATGAAAGCAAATTACCATTAACTTTGCAAATGAAAGCTAAATGAAACCATTACCTTGATTGGCGTCTTTAGCAGTAGCCGCAAGCAAATTGCCTTTGAACCTACCTTTCAAAAATGTTCCATCCAAAAACAACAAAGGTCGACAATGATTGAACCCATCTATACAAGCGTGGAATGATATAAAATACCTAACAAACCTCCCGATTTTTTGGTCAAACTCAAGGTTGATGTAACTGTTTGGGTTTTTTTGCATAACGGCATCGTTATACCACCTGAGTTGATCGAAGGACGTAGCGTGATCCCCGTACACTTCACCTCTCGCTTTCTCAACACCCAACCATGCCACCCGGTAACTAATGTCCAAACCATACTCATTTTTCAAGTCAAACACAACATCGGTAGGACGCGTCAATGGCTGATCGCGCACTCGATCCGCAACAACAGCAGACACCAAATCAGAACCCGTACGAGGGTTCCTACAAGTACGTACAGCAGCCCCACAAGTATGCACACTATCGAACCTTTTAATACATAACACCCCAGTTGACGGTAACATCCTCGCATGAACTGACCACAAACAATCTGTTGACGTCGCAAACTTGCACACTACTGTAATTCGAACGGAATCATTTTTAATGTACTTGAATTGAAATCCACGTTCAACGGCGTACTTACATAGAACTTCACGAAATTCAGTTGCTCCACCGTCAAAACATTGTCCCACATGGGTAATCCCATACGCCCGTTGCGCCGACAAAAACGTCTTCGATCTGTTCGGACAGTATGTTGTTAATAAGTCCATTTGGTCATCCACACAACCATTCCGACTAGCATCTCGAGAAATTACCCCATCCTCCGTGGAATCCACCACACCACAATTACCCCCCACACCAACACTACTTTCTTGAATGAGGACCTCAATGTGATTTATTCCAAACGACTTAGCAAGGCACAACATGTTTTGAATATCGTCGTTACTATCCACCTTAAACTTCTTGTACCCGGGAACATCGAACACCAAACACACCGCACCTGGTATCAATCCATCAAACTTTGCACAAATATCATCAACAATCTGTACGAATGACGAATCCTGATGCAACCGAATAAGAACATTGACTAAACCGTACGAACACACTAACAATATCCCTCCGTCCATACCTGTGACACATTTGTTGAACCCATTACTATGGCAACATAACCAGGAAAAAACATAACAAAAACACCTTTTCTTTCCATCAATTTGCTGTAATTAATCGATGCCACCCCACTGAAAGATCACAGACATTGGGGGGGAAAAAAATAAAATAAACCAACACACACTCGTTTTGAAAATGTTACCCACAGCAGTGTAAACACAGCAATCCAACACCCCTGCACTGTACAGTTACGTTGCCACAAAAACAACAGCCAACCGGAAAACTAACGCCCACCACCGGGAAAAATGGTGGCCACCGTTTTCGGCCTCCAAAAACCAATGGTGAAAAACAATGTCAATGAAGGAGAACCATGGTAATCAATTATAAATGATGAAAACAATGGTAATCAATAACCACGCAATGTTAATCAATCAAAAAACCAGTACAAAAATTGGCCATCAATGAACATGGTACAAACCGTTTAAGGACAGATTACAGAAATGGTGAAAACCAATGTTAATAACTAAAAAAACCCACAAACCATTAACATTACGTAACCACATACAAAACAATGAAAACAATGAAAATGGCAGTCACCGTATTCTGAGCGGAAATGGCACTCACCGTGATTGGACTCTGAATAACAAAGAAAACAATGGTAATCAAACCCCAAAATTGGTCAACATTACGGAACCAATAGCATGTTAATAGAAACAAACATGGAAAGGGTATAGACGTCAAAACAAATAGAATCAAATCACACCCCCCAATCTCTGCCACTAAAATAGGACTAAATGGTATAGATAAAAACTTACAGGACTAAATGGTTTAACTTTTCTGTAGATAGGATTTATGAGTAATTTTTCCATCAATGAATTAGTATAACTTTTTTTCATTTTTTCATTATGAATGAATTAGGTGTCAATTAATGGCTTAATTACCATCAATTAATACAAAAATTAATAATAGTATCAATTAGTATAATTTTTTTCATTTTTTCATTATGAATGAATTATGTGTCAATTAATATGGCTTAATTACCATAAATTAATACTAAAATTAATAATAGTATCAATTAGTATAATTTTTTTCATTTTTTCATCACAAATGAATTAGGTGTCAATACTAATTAATATAAAAATACTAAAATTAATACTAATAATACTAAAAATACTAATAATATTATTTAGGCCTCGTTTGGGAAACGATCGATTTAGTCATAAAATTATTAAAAAAGCCAAAAAACCAACAACCTATACAAAAAAGTCAAAGATTCCCTTTTCTCTCTACTTTTTTCACATCTTTTCGTAAAAAGTCAAAAAATTATCCCAAACATACTAGTTTTTTTTACATCATGTTTTAGCCAAAAAGTCAAAAAGTTACTAAAAAGCATGCTCCCAAACGAGGCCTTACTGTGTAATTGTCTATTTTGCTCTTATATGATATAAAAATGATTATTTTGTCATTTTTATAGTTTTAATTTTTAAAAAATTATTTCATTAATAAAAGTTAATATAATTAGTATTACAAAAATCATTATTTTTATTAATAGTATCAATTAGTATAAAAATATTTCATTTTTTCATTATAAAATTAGTGTCATTTATTTTGTCAATTATATTTTTTCATTTAATAGAAGTTATTTCATTTTTTTATTATTTTGTTTTGTTTTCATTAATATCAATTATAACAATTGTTTTTTTTTATATTATTATTACAAAACCAAAGAAAATAGCAAAGAAGTTATTTAATTGAAATAAATTTATATTTATATTAACTGAAATAAAATTGTGCAATTTATTTAATTTTGTTTAATTTATTAATTCATTACAATTAATCATTATTATTGTTTTTATTATTTAATTTTAATTTTAATTTTTGTTTTTAATTATTATTTTTATTATTTTGTTTATAATTATTAATTTTGTTTAATTTATTTAATTTTTGTTATTTTTTTTTCTTCTCTTCCATTCCTTCCTGAACCATCTGTATGCTGCCGGTGGTCTGCAACCCTAACCACCACCGCGATCTGGAACGACAGAGAAGGAGTGCCGTCGCTCATCATGGCAGAGAGGGAGTGCCGGAGATGGGAACTGGTTCGTGAGAAACAGACAGAGAGAGAGAGAAAGAGAGAGAGAGAGAGAGAGAACACAGCAGGATGACGGCGATTTGGTGAAATTTATATACGCCCCGTCCCCGCTCCCGATCCCCAACAGGGACTCATAGCCCGGGCCCATCCCCGCTCCCGATCGGGGATCGAGGATCTCCGACCTCGAAAAATCCCTGGTTTTTTTTTTATCTATAAAAATCTTTAAACATGGATTAAAATATATTTGTCAACATATTTTCCAATTAAAAAAATTCTAACAGTGAAATTGCATATTACATCCTGTAGAATTGAGACAGTGCCATCCTGTAGCATTGAGATAATGAAATTGCATATTACATCCTATAGCATTGTTATACACAACCTGTAGCACATCCTGTAGCATTGTCATACACAACCTGTAGCATGTGAAATTGCATATTACATCCTGTGAAATTGCATATTACATCCTGTAGCATTGCCAATTAAAAAAATTTTAACAGTGTCACACACAACCCACACACAAAACATTGAAACAGTTCCATACAAAACCCACACACAAAACATCCTGTAGCATACAAAACATTGAGACAGTGTCATCATTGAGACAGTACCATACAAAACTCATAAAATAGCATCCTGTTTCTCCAAGAAAATTCAGCAGCCCATACACAACCCACACATACAAGAAAATTCAACAAGTAGCAAAGAGAATAATTAATCCCAAGCACAACCCGCAAGCAATAGGTTACCCAAAAAATTGAAATTAAAAAAAAAAAAATCCATTACAACATAAAAAATCAAATCCATTGTTTCTCCAATATCCATACAAACCACACAACAACTTCCATCATCTCCTTCAACTTGAATTCCTGTTAAATAACAAAAGGAAAAAAACAAATAATTAATATTAATAATAAAATGTAAAAAATGTTAACAATTAAAACAAAAAAGATGACAACTAACACAAAAGTAGCACATGACTGATCCGACTTGATCTCATCATCATCATATATAGTTGCATAGCCCACTGATTCCAATGTTGAATTTCCTAAAAAGTAAAGAATATAAATTTAGTATTGAAATTATTCCATGGTAATATAAATAATAAAAGTGAAATAATAATATATAGATTTGATGAAATAATATCTTTCATCTCTGCACCCCACAACCAACTTTGTGCACACATTAATGATTCTAATGTGTTTGGATGAAGTCTACTACGATGTGGACTCACCAACCTTCCACTAGTACTAAATGCTGACTCATAAGCAACAGTGGATACAGGAATAGTTAAAATGTCCCTAGCTATTGCCTGTAAGGTCGGATACTTTGGTCCATTAGCTTTCCACCAATTCAAAACATCAAAACCTGAAGTTCTTGGCAAAACCTCGTCTTCTAGATAATGGTCCAACTCTGATCTTACATTCTTCATTTTTTTACTTCTCTTTCTACTAACAAACAAATCAAATTCCGAAAGGGTCTCCATAACA